AGATAGCCCTCGTGTAGCTTTGCGCGAAATTCCAAAACAAACAAACAAACTTTATAAACAAGATAGTACGAACAGGATACTTAATTTGTTATACTCATTACCGGATTGATTCTTATTTTTTATTTAAGTAGGTAGCTTGCCTTGATCGAAGTTAATATTAATAACAGAATCACAACAGAATGATGGCAAAAAGGAACACACATACTTGACTAAACTTTATTCGAATAGGTGAAACCATTTGTGGATACAAACGAATTTGTCAGATGAACCTATACAAAAAAAAAAAAACAACAAAAAAACACCGAAACCATACAGTGATCCCCTAAAAGTTCTCCAATGAGTTATCATATACTACAAAGAAAGCAGCAGACTAAAAAGCTGAAGTGGTGATTATTAAGGTAATTATTCAATAATCAGTTCAGTACCTAGACGTTAAAAATAGCTCTAATGTAGAAAAAAGGGGACACTTTGTAATTCTCTATTAATCGCCTGAAGGGACTTTTTGTATATAATTCAATGTCTTTACCTTACCCATATCTTATAGGCACTCGAATATTTGATAGCATCTTCATTATGTCTCATTGTATTCTTTGCATTTTTCTACCTTATTTTAAACAAGAACAAAGAAACAACAACAACAAAAAAATAACAAACAAGGCTATAAGCAGAAAGACTCAGTCACCAGCACTCATAAAGCAGTAGTATTAATCAGTCTTTCTTTGTAGTATAAAAATTCATCTAGCATCTAAAGCGTAGCATATTAGACAATGCTTGCTTCTTATAAGGTGTGTGTATCCCTAAACTACAATGCCTAATACTCTTTCCAAGAAATTCAACAACGTGATCGCTTTCGGAAGCGATGGATTATCGGATTTCTTTTAATCGTGTATAGAGTTTCTTAGAATCATAAGTGTCCTCTTACAGGTTGTATTTAAGGTGAGTCGTTCACAGTAAAGAAACTGTATAATGTTTTATCATTTTTTATTATTTAAATCCACTGGAAAATCTATAGCATCATAAGGAACTTTTTGATAGAAGAGTTTTGAAATGAAAATGCTTCTCTTACAAAAGCGTTTGTAGTGGGTAAAAAATTACAAAAACAGGAGCATTTAAGTTCTGCTGAAAGCCTTATTGTTACAATTATTTATTTTGTTGTTTTTGATGATCGTGCAATTTGCTTACGATAAAAGTAGCTGACAAAAATTTGTAATAAAAGCAGGACAAGGACATTCAACTACGCCACGTTTCGCCAAGATGTCTACAAGGACAAACTACTATAGAACCCATTCTAAACAAATCCGCTAGGTGGCTGCGTTTGCGTAGTTACAACAAACGTATGAGTATGACAGCAGTTTTTACCTGAGTGATTTGGCAAGAATTAAGTGTACGATTTTGTAAAATGTTAACTGCCTGTAGTTTTGACATACCTTTTCACAACAGATTAGCTTATGAGCGAAGTTAAAACACAAAATTGGATAGTGATTTAGAATTGTTCGACGAACATTTCAACATTTGAAAGGTAGGCTTAGAATTATTGAACGTGAAGATGTAGGCCAACCAAACCGGTATTCTGACACAATCTCAGAATCTGTTATATACGCATGTATCTGCAAAGTATATTCTCGTGAGGTGCTTTTAGCACAACTAATTTTTTAACTTTAGTTTAAAGTAAGTGTTCTTGGCTGCCATAATTATATGGTATTATTACAGGATCTAATTATTAAGAATAAGACCCATACTTAATACCCGTGAGAAATAATTTACTTAGTTAATGAAAGTGAAATAAATAATATTAATAACATACAATGAATAAATAGTTTGGTGTTAACAAAAATCATAAACCTAATTCTGATTAGTAAAGGCTCAATTAGATAGTTGAAGTATTATAGTTCAACAACTTAATTTAGTTTACACCGAAACAGTTGTTCTTCAAGCAACTGATGTTATAAATAGAGCCTCGACCAAAACTACAATTGTCGTATCCCAATCGGCTGATAATTTTTCGCTATTAAAATAAAGGTTTATATCAAAATTATTGTTTTCCAGTATCTTGTAAGTATAATATATGGTGGTATAATATTTCTCCGTCAAGTGATTCCAAAACTTAATGTAAGTTAGTATAATAAATCCTTGCAATTCGTCCTACCCAAGTATTCCCAAAATATAATATATACTACTGTAATAAGTCTTTTTCAAATTCTCGTGATTTCTTATATATATAACCTACACTAGTTCATGAAAATATCATTCGTAAAGTTGTTTGAAATCAAACAGAACATACTTTCCTTATAGAATACCCAATGTCATCAGATGAAAACTTATTCGTAAGTTTCAACACTGTAAATATAAAAGCGTTTAAATGTAAAAAAACTATAAGTCTGGATAGAAGCTGTGTGAAAATGAAATACTTATTATATTACCGAGGACAATATGTGAACATATTTAAAGGGTGTGTTATGTTTCTCACATATTTTTGGTTTATTAACGCACATTCTATGCAACTCTCAGATTGCTCTTATTAACAAACATCATAACGCCCACACAGTTTAAAGTGTGAGCATGTGCGGCAACAGGTTTCGATCCTACCACCCACAGATTATGAGTGGTACGACCTAACCACTAGGTCATATTTTCATGAACCCCATGGCAATTATAGGTTGTAGCTATATGCAAAGGCAATCCGTTGTTTGTAGTCAAGCATAAAGCTACACAAAGAGCTATCTGTGCTGTGCCCACCATGGTTATCGAAGCTCGATTTTCAGCGTTATAGGTCCTCAGACTTACCGCTGAGCCACTGCGAGGCAACATTGTTTCGGCTTATCAAATGTTGATGTTAACAAAACTTTAACATCTAAGTTGAATCCCGGAAGTATTTTTCTCCTAATAGAAAATAATATTAAAACTTTTAAATGTTCATGATGAGTTCATTATTTTCTAAATGTGACTTGAGAAGTAGCTATATTTTACTTCGAGGGGTGCCATTCCATCAAACTGGCCTAAGTGACACGTGGTGAATCCAAGAAAGTTCCAGGCCTCACGATTTTTTTAATGTTAGTAATACAAATGAAACTGCAAATCGTATATAATCTGTTTAGTTGTCATACAGAAGTTGTAATTAATACAAAATATTCAGTATTTTATTGATTGTAAGGAAAAGCAAGAAAAAACAACAACATGTATATTTGTTAATGTATATTCTGATCTGTAAAATGTTAATTATATCTTGTTTATTTGTTATTGAACACAGCCACGCAATGGCTTAACGGTGTTGTACCCATCGCAGACATCGAAACTAAATTCTTAGTGCTATACACCTTCAGACTTACCATTGAGCCGCCAGGGCGAAAAATGATAAGGTTATTATTTTTGAAATATTATTTAGTGTGCTTGTTTTTTATAGCAAAGCCACATTGGGATATCTGCTATGTCCACCGAGGGGAATCGAACCCCTGATTTTAGCGTTGTAAGTATTATACAGAGATGAGAAGTGTTTTATATTTTGAATATCAAACATTTTAGCGCATGTTTAATTCGGGTATTCTGAATGGCCGAGTGTTGTCCGATGGTTAGCAGGCAGGACTTAGATTCGAGGTTCCATATTTCATGCCCCATTTCCGACAAAAATAATCGCGTTCTGCACTTTGGGACAGTGAGTGATGTTGACTAGTTGCCCAGAGGTCTCAGGAAGGTGTCAATGGGGCCGTATCAAATACGTAAAATACACAATACATTTAAGGTACTCAATATCTGTAGATTCATTTGGATGTGAAATTTTCTTGGAGGCCTTGTACTTAGACAGTTTGGGAACCTGTGCTCCAGTCTATCACTTCAAAATTATTGAATGCTAGCGCAGAGTAGCTTTGTGTGAAAAATCCAACAAAACAAACAACATATTCCGAAGTACTTCATAAAACTTACATGTTGGCAGAGATATGTTCAGTTTTCTAGCTTTTCAATAACTTGTTATCAACGCAATGATTATAGAGAGGTTGAATACGTTGAGTGAAAACGATTTTGGAGCCTCACAACATCGTTACAGTCTCTGTCGCCCCGTCTGGTCATGTACTATCTGGTGATCATGGACCACTCTTTCAGTCATCGGTCTTTTGACCAACAACTACCCTATTGTAATGTACGGCGGGTAATTGTACCCTGTAATGAATACATGATATCGTATTTTATAAAATGGGGATTAGGAAAGCAAGAGTGTCTAAGAATTTTAATTCGTTGAAGTCACGAACAAACGATTATCCTAGCTCCTGTAAATGAATGGTATATATGTATGAATGTTATTGAAGTTAAGTACAAAGCTACATAATGGACTATCTGTGCTCTGTCCACCACGGGTATCGAAACCAGGTTTCTAGCATTGTAAGTGCGCAGACATACTGCTGTGCCACTGGGGGGCATAAATGAATGTAAATCACACAATTTGAGCATCACTTGATAGCTCAGAAAGAAAGGGTCGCAACACCTTTTCAATCAATAATCTTTTGACTAAATTACTGTCCTAGCTGGTAGCTTGTTATTTCAACCAAGTGATCATTGACCACTTGAGAAAATCAAAATCTGGGTCATGCAGGCCCAGTATTCGACATCACACTGCCTGTCTACAAATGTGCTCATTCCAGATAATGTCCTGTCTGGAATAATACAATATATGACCCAGCCCTTCCGTGTCTTCTCTCTCGTCTAATGGGTGAAGAGTTAAGCCTCGCCTCCACGATGAGCCGACATGGGCATGGAACGAATCTTTCCCTGCTGTACTCATAGTCCATCTCGGACTGGACAAGATGGTTCTACGAGGAAGTCGTGGCAAGTTTGAGAAGTCTAAATCTCGGACCTACATGGACCCTGATTCTAGTAGTTCCTGACCAACAAGGTGCTTGATGTGCCTTGTCTACCTTCTGTACATACTCTTGGGTTATCACACATTATATTCCTGTCTCAGCAGCTCGTCTCCCGTCCAGGAAAATATGTTTACTGCTTTATAGATAATGCTTTCCCCTCCTAAGTGTTTGCTGCATTGCCGAGCAGCATTGCAGTTCAACTGTATCTCTCTCCTTGCTGTCGGGATGGTTGGATACCTTTTTATTTCACAAAGGTTCGCACCTCGTTCACCAATCATTACCTGCTGATTTGTCTGCATCTTGCTTTTGACTCTCGACTCCAGTAGCCCGCCACCTCCCTGTCCATAGAAACTCCTCGACTTTTCTCAACTCGACTTTTCTCTTCACTCATCAGGAGTCGCTGTACCACCTGCTGGCAAGATGTTGCATGCTGATGCCTTTAGGTGATCAATGGGAATAGCTGTACTACTCATTGGCATGATTGTTTGTGGTGGCTTCACTAACTAATGGAGGTGGTTGTCCCACCTGCTGGTGAGACAGCTGATATCAGTGGCTTTTGCCAGCCAATGGTAACAAACTCCTGACTTGTGTCTCCTCACGGGTCACCTCTCGTTGCAGAGAGGATCACCACCACGTGGGCTTTTATGCTATCTGTGCCTTCAAAAGGTTCAAAAGGCCTTCTGAATTCCTCATGCCTCGATAGTCCTTGCTGTCTGTCCTTAATTCTTGACTACAGGATAATGATCTAAAGGGAACTTTGCATCATTAGCGAAAGTCTAAGATCAGGAAAGGACGTTTCCTGGAGGTGACCATCGTTTCTGCAAACCTTTCCCAGGCACCACGTTCGTTTCCCCCTCTAGTTTGTACACTCGTTTCCCTTTAGAGAGCAACATCTGTACTAATGACAGACATAATACCTCTTTGAACATTCAGAATGTCTGGCTACTAAACCCTCTCAAAGAGGAGCCAAAATTCTTCCTACCTTACTACTCTGAATATATATTCCCCGCATAACAGTCTTTCCCACAGAGCACTCAGTTAAACCCACTAACTGAAGGTTCGAAGAAAACCGGAAAATGGAGTAAAAATGCTCTCCAACTCTACAGCCGGGTCATCAATAGTTTCACAGGCAAAACATAGTTTTAAAGAGTTCTCATTAAACAAGGGCAAGTGTTCAGTGAGGGTGTTGAAGGAATGAAGTCTTACTTTAAATAGTTCTCATTAAAGAAGGGCAAGTGTTCAGTGGAGGAGTTGAGGGAATGAAGATTTAGTTTAAATGGTTCTCATTAAACAAGGGGAAGTGTTCAGTGGAGGAGTTGAGGGAATGAAGATTTAGTTTAAATGGTTCTCATTAAAGAAGGGCAAGTGTTCAGTGGAGGAGTTGAGGGAATGAAGATTTAGTTTAAATGGTTCTCATT